TAGATTGTGATGTCTGACTGGTACTCTGCCCTGTAAATGTATTTTTAACCTATGGCAATCTGTTGTTGTTTAAAACAACGGCAACCACAACCCCCCCAACCAGTTCTCTTTTTGTGTATTCATGTTCGGAAAACCTATCATAACTGTAAGGAAAAGCAAACCTTAAAGGGAAAACAAAATATTTGTACCAGAGTCCTAAAGATATTTCATTGTATATATTGTGATAGCATGTTTCTGGAACCAACAAATAAGTGATGTGAATTTTAGGTGTAAATATCTGCTGTTTCGTTTTTTATTTTTTCCCCCTTCCCTTCCCCATTCACTCAACTGCTATGATGTTGAATTAAAAATTAATACTTGATATTAAAAAGCATTGAGCAGATGCTCCAAGGTACCCATGAGATATTTATTTAGATGCCACAATGTATCTTACATATAAAAGCTGGTGCTCAGTAAACTCTCATGATGTTGATCTCCTACAGATTTCCTGTTCAGGTGCTGTCAATTGAAATTACACACCAATAGGTTTAGGGGTGGGAAACTATTGAAAAATCAGGAAAATGGGAAGAATGCTGCAATCTACTTCACAGGGAAAGTGATATGATCATCTGTTATTAACTAACCATGTTTTACTCAGCAGTAAATACTTTCTGAAGTATTTTTACTGAAAATACTTTCCCCAAGATTTGTGGGTACCATTTTCATTTTCATTTTATTTTTAAAGCATTGTAACCAGTAAATCCCTAGATAATGAAACCTTGTTGCTAGAAGAAAAGGGGATACTTGCTTCTCGCTAGAAAAGGTTTTCATCTTGCTTTATGGGACCCAAAGAGGTAGAATAATCTCACACCTAGTCAACTGAAGGCCCTGCAGAATACTCATGGATTCTCTGACTGGCTTTCTCTAATGTTTTAGCACTCTGTGACAGCCAATTACCACCATGTGTCCAAGTTCATTGAAATAGCTTGGCCATGCCTCCCCCCTTTGTTGCCAATCACAAGCCGCATTGGTTTTGCCCTTAGACTCCTCTTCTATCAAAACAGAAACATGCCCTACATCTGAGCAGTAACCACACCAGGAAGCAGCTTCTGGAGCTGGATTTAGAGTGTTGGCAGCAATTTTCTTACTCACGGAAAAACAGTGTGAGGACCAGAATAGGGAATGCCCCATCACACTCATGGCTAATTATTAAATACATAACGAGAATTATTGCACTCTCTACCTACGAATCTAAGACCCTGCTGGGTCAGGGAAAAAACCCATCTAGTCCAACATCCTGTCCCCACAGTGGCCAACCACATGCCCATGGGAAGCCCACAAGTTGGACCTGAGTGCAGCAGCGCTCTCTCCACTTGTAATTCCCAGCAATTGGTATTCAGAAGCAGACCATCTCCACCAAAACCTATTCAGGGGGATTGTGAGGTCCTTTCCAGATACAGATAGATGCACACACCATCAAACATCGTTCCTCTACTCAGCACATTTCCCAGCACTCAGAACAATGATTATTTTGTTGCTGAGATATTGTCTCTTCCCCCTACCTCCACCTGATATAATAGTGAGTGCTATGTAGAATGTGGTTATGCAAGTATAAGTACCTATTGCAGTGTCTGTGGCATCACTGGCAACAAGCAACACAGCTCCTTTGTACGCCATTTTGTAACCTTTAATTTTGTTCCCCAATCTTGTCTTGAGGCTGAGCATTCTCCCATTCAAACATGTATGCACTCTTTAAGCCCTTTAACAGCAACTTAAAATACTTGCTTAATTTTTTTCCTTGTTTTTTTTTATGTCAACATACTGATTCTGAGTATATTGTTGTATTAATATATTACTACTGATGTGAATATTGTCTATTTTAATGCTGTTGAATGTATAGTTTATTTGATCATATATAATTGTAATTCTGTTAAAATATGAACAATTAATAAAAACATAAAATATAATGAAAGGGCCAAACATGAGCAGGGATCCACCTCCCATCATCTCCCCACCACACACAGTATTACCATGTCATTTCACAACCATTTTTCATTCTGTTCAATTGTTCTTCTTCCCAAGGAGTTCTTGGAGGCTGTGTGCTCTTCCACTCCAGTGCAGGACGCACTTTTCCCATTAAAGAAATAGTACTTTGGCCACCCCATATATGTGTTTCTTTCATAACGAAATCTGGAGTGAGGGTTGTTTTCTAACAAGGCCCAAATACTATTTAGAATACTTACCATAAAGATAACTTATTACAGTTAACAGAAATAATTGGATCCATCAGTCAGTTTCTCTATGTAGGGGGGGTAGCAGGGAGAGAGGGTTGCATGCACAGATCAGCCGCAGTATAGACCTTTGATTGCTTCCTGTGTGCAAAAAGGATAAATCTAAATATCTACCATCTGTGCATATAAGCACCCAGACCAACTAAGACAGGATGTGCACCATTGAGTGCATTTCCCATTAACCTGCACTGTATGAAGATGCATATTCTCTGGGCATTACAAGTTATACATACCTTGTTTGCCTGACTACATCTTCAAAGCGATGGAGTTTGAACCATGTAAACACAAGCTCTATAGTATCTGCCTTGATCTATGTGATATTTCAACCTGAGTTCACTGATGGGTGATTAGACTGGGAGGCAAGCCTCAAGTTTGAAAGTTACTATTCTAGTCTGTCAGAGCACTGTCCCACAGAATGAAGGTAAGCTTTTTATCCACTAGACAAACTACTGACCATCCAGATATCATTGGACTATAACTGCTATCAGTCCTTAGCCTTGCCTTTTTCTTTTTGTGCTTGTGTGGGAGTTGGGAGTCTCAGCAACTTCTGGAGCATCACAGGTTAGCCTTAAAGGCAGGTGAAGTATTTCCTTTAGCAAAAATAAAACGAGGCAGTGCTTAGCTAAGTTAAGAAAATGAATGCAAGGTAAGTGGTCCATTCTTAACATAAAAAGGATTTGGCTGAGATATTTAGTTAGAACTGCAGTCTTGGGAGCCAACTCATTTAGCAACAAGGAAGTGAGACAATTGCCTGCTACTAAATTGCCCATATAAATAGTACAAATTGTTAAGATTCAGTGGAATTGTGATCCTTTTGTCTTTCAAAGGTGTAGGAACCTTCAGTCACTCAATTTCTATCTAGTACCTTGCAACATCTCCAGGATCTCATCCTAACTTCAGCATTTCTATGGACCATATCAAGCAGAAATCTATTGGGCATAAGAATGGCTAGAATGTGGAGGACTTTATAGGGTTGAAATAAAAGGGTGAGGTAGGCTTGGTTAAAGATGTAGAAGAACCAGAAGCTGCCTCCGAAGCCAAGTACTGTTTTTGGTGGATGCTGTCCGAAGCAACTCTTGGCTATGGGGGAAACATGCAGTGAGTGATAGAGGGTGTCTCCCCCCACTTCTCATTCCGCTTTTCCTTCTTTGTGGGGAAAGAGAGAGGCCTCTCTACATTTTCATTCTGTTGCATAGAGACTTTCGTCAGCACATGTGAATGACTTGAGTGTGTCTATATACATATGGATATATATTTTTTTCCAAAATGTATCTAGTAAAATAATGTTTAAATATGGGTTGCAGAAATTAGATACTCTGTAATTAATCTAAGATGTAATGGATTTTACAGTTTAAGGAACCAATTGTTGGTTTTAAATAAGTTCTGTGCTAAAAATAAACAAATACTCTGATTATGGTTGGCGTGCATTTTCATCACTCTTAACAAAGATATGCCTATAGATGATCAGCTGATAGGCTGTTTAATATTCAGCATCTTCATCACATACCAGAACTCTGTGCCGGGAGAGGCTTAACTCTCATGCCATGACCCAACTTAGCAATAACCACTCCAGGCAAGGAAAAACAAGGCAATTCTCCTCAAGTACACAAGACGGAGCTGCATTCTATTCCTATTTTTGCTTCAGCTTCTACATTAAAGTTGGGCTGTGCCAGTTCCTCCAGGGTGAGCAAAAAGTTGGTTTCAGCAGCTGGTGAGAAAAAAAGGAAACCTACACATAGCAAATATGGGAAATAGTGCTAATTATTCATGTGTATACATACCAATGCAAAAGCAAACTTTATGTTTATTTCATAATCTCATTTTGCTGCAATTACCTGTCAGCACAGTGATGCACTCTACTTTCATGGGCATTAAGTGTAGCACAAATAAATACTGTGGGGAGAGGATAGAGCTGGTGACTTTCCTTTGAGAATTCTGAATCGTAATCCAGCTAAAAGGAATGCAGGTATATTGCAAAGAAATACCTATGTAATGTAAAATGTGTGTTGCACACTTTACTTAAAAGGTCCCACACTGCACTAAGGATTTTTATGTCTCCACCATGTGAGGCTTATAATTTGTATATTAAAACATTTCCCTTTCTAGCGTTTGGCTCCAATCTCCCGCTCCAAATGAGTGTCTCTCAAACACGCTTGTAAATTGCCTTTGGCAAGCAAATATGCATTCCTAGGTGCCCCTGAAAATGGCTGGTCTGCAGGACCTGCATCTTCCAGATTAGTGGGAGCGCCCTCTTGCCCAACACGCACATATTCTAGACGTGGCACAGCTGCCACGCACGTGGGGCATCTCCCGTTTCAGACCAATGTTTATTGCTGCTGTTGCTACGGCCGCTACTACAAATTTCTTCTCCTCGCTATGGCAGGCCGATTTTGAAAGCCTGAGCTCACGATTTGGATGACCCTTGTGCATCCTTTGGATTAATGGCAGCCCACTTAAAGCAGGCCTTATCCTTTACCCGCGAGGCCCGGAGCTGCCACTGGTCTCCCGCAGATGGGCTCCGGTCCCACTTGCGCTCCTATTGCTGCAATGCCACCTTCTCCTAACCAAGAGGCTGCTCGTGCGTAAAGAGGAAGAACTGGCTCCTAACAAACGCCAGCTTCCGGCTCGGGGATGGGCCCTTCCTTCCACACGTCCACTTGCCCCTCTGCGCTTCAAGGGCCGTGGGAAGCACAGCCCGAGGCGGGCCGGCAGTGGTGACGGCGCGAAATCGTGCCCGAAACAAATATGGCGATCTCCGCCTCCTTACACCTTTGCCGTAAACTGCTAGGGCTCCGCCGCTGGGCACGCTTGGCGCTCAAAGTGCGCGACGACTGCCTCTTTTCATTCGGAGGCGGCTTGTCCAATCGGCGGCCGCCAACTCTACTGTCCCGAAAGCCCGCCTGGCCAACCGGGAAAGGGAGCGTGGAGACTTGCAACGGAGCGCTCCAATGGCAGCCTCGTACGTGGCAGGAAGAGGGGCAGCGCAGCCAATCGGGTTGCGAGTGGGCGGCGAGCGTGTCGTCAAGGTGCCGGCTGTGGAGGGGCTTTTTTCAGTACGAGCCGAGCGAGCGGCCGAGGCGGGCGGTAAGAGGGAGGATGCGGGCAGCCAACGGGCTCTGGGCGGCGCTGGCCTTGATCCTGCTCCCTGGGGAGAGCCACGCTCTGCGGGAGGGAGACTGCGAAGGTGAGTCGCCGTTCCCGCGTGGATGGTCTGGGCAGCGGAGGGCGGAAGGGGCCCCCGGGGCTTCGCGGAGGGAGGGAAGGAGGGAGCGCGTTGCTGGGGTGGCCAGGTGGCAACGGCGCCTCCCCTTCACGAACACGGCCTCCCCTTGGCTTGGAAACCGGAGGCGAGTCTTGCCTCAGCCGCAGCTTCCGCGCTTCTTTCCCCGGCCTGGTGCCGCTTTCCTCTCAGTTGGAGGGACGCTGGACCCCCACATCGCAAGGCTGCCATGGGGAAGGAGATGCCCTTGTAGCTGCCAGCCAGCGAGTCGGTTTGAACCAAGAAGGCGAGCAGACGAGCATCAGTGCGAGTGGCTGCGGGGACTTTGGAGAAGAAGGGGGGAGGGGGCTCAAGTGTCCTGCTTGCTCTGTCGCTGTGAAGCCCATTGAGAAGATGCAGCTGCCAAAGGGGTTTCCCCAGAAGCTGCTTATATAAGGAGTAGGGATATACCCACATGTCTTGTTGTAGCTTTGAGGTCACCATTACTGCAGTGGGGACTCATGGTAGTTGTTGTTGTTTTTTATAAGATATTTATTAGCATTTTCACAAGTTTTATAAAACATAAAAATCACACAGAAACAAAACATAAAAAATATCAAAAAAGCATACAAAAAAGCAAAAAAAACCCCACATGTATAACTTCATTCCCTCATGTTCGTGAAGATTACTTTCCCGACCTCCTCATACCTCTCCTTACTGCATTCCATTCTCTAATTAATTCTCTTCAACAAATCCTTCCCTTAATTTCAGTTAAATTTTTAAGCTTTCTTTTCATATTACATAATAATTACAGCTAGCAACTCCTTAATTTCAGAATCAACATCGTCTTAACATTCAACAATTTTACAATATTTCTTAAGATAGTCTTTAAATTTCTTCCAATCTTCTTCCGCCGTCTCTTTCCCCTGGTCTCGGATTCTGCCAGTCATCTCTGCCAGTCCCATATAGTCTATAACTTTCATCTGCCAGACTCATGGTAGTTGTCAGGGTCCTGCTTCCATAATGAAGAAGTGATCCCTTGTTGCTGCTGCTAGCAAAGGAAGGACGGTTAAAATGATTGTGCCAGGTTTTGGGCTGTATGCTCCTGCCCCTGAGTTGGGAGCTTCCAGGGAAGCCCCCCTCAGCTTCCTGCTGCTGGGAACTATACACTTGACGCTGGTGTGTGGGTGGGGGCCTTTTCTGCTGTGGCACCCTAGCTCAGGAATGTCTTTCCTTCTGAAATTCCTTTGCTCCCACAGACTACTGGCACGCAGGCACTAGGTGGAAATCAGAGTGGCTTTTCAGACTCTGGGGCATTTGTGCTTTTTATGTTTGATATTAATGTGTTCCCTCCCCCCCCCCTTTGGATATGTGTTTTAAGCAGGCTATGCTTTATTGTGACCTGCCCAGAAGTCCTAAGATGTGGGTTATAAGTTGCCTAAACAATCTCTTACCTCATTCCTTTCTGTAATCATGACCTTCAGATTGATACTAAGTAGGATATGCTGTGAATTATATCTACAGTGTGATATAGTCTCTATAATTGTAATGGCATGTATGGGTCCTCCCTTGTATGACTTAGTAAATGGTTACACCCACAGGCTGAAGGTCTCCTCTATAGTACTTATGTTCCTGGTTACACACTAATGCAGAAGACTCTGTTCCAGTATTTCTAATTGTTCAACCCTTAGCTGAATGAGCAGCAGCTTGAGGAGCTGCTTTTATTTATGTATATTTGTTTCATGACTTGACTGAAGCCAAAGTTTGTTTCTGGAACCAGTTTTCAATACAAAGTTTCATCCTTGGAACACAAGGAATAATAGTGTTTTTAATCATGTGCAGAGTGCTGCTAATTCATGGTTGATAACACACAACCATTCTGGGTTGTATTATTTTCCCTAGAATTTCTGCATTTCAGAAACCAAGCACATCTCAGCTATAGTCTCCTGATCTTAACAGAGAATATGGCTCAGCCAAGGCAAAAACATCTTATAAGGCAGAGGTGATGCCCCGTCCAGGTGGCTGACACCGTCCGCCTCCCCGCCCCCCAAATTCTCCATTAATTTTGGCAGTGGCAGCAAAAAAAGGTATCACATTAGGGTGGCTAGATCTAGCATCTCACTGAGAATGCAAATTGCTCCTACCCCTGTCATTGGATTAAATATTTGATAAGCAGAGAAGTGATGACACTCCCCCCTCAGCTGGTCTTCATGAATCAGCTGGGGAGACACGCTGTGTGCAAAACTGTGGCCACATCCAACACTGCCCAAAGATTAATGTGAAAAAGAGTAGCTACCCCAGTTGTAGCTAAGAACGGATTTGGACTGCCATGTTGTATGAACTACCCCTTGACAAGGTAGTCTGCTTTCATAAATATGCCCAATAGTTCATCTTCTACACTAGTGTGTTGGCTTTTGATCTGCTATGCTTCGTTCATTTTGTGTAAGTTAAAAAGAAGAGGAGAATTTTCAGGGAAGAAGTTCATTTCAGCATTATATCTCCTTCACTTTACAGTGTGTGTTTCATTCTTGGGAAGATTCTACCAGAGCCTAAAGGAGAAGAATGTTGAGTTCACACCAAACAGTATTGAAAAAGAACTTTTAAAATCCTGTAAAGAAGCAAAAGGCAAAGAGAACCGTCTGGTAAGTATTTGTAACTGGGTTATGTATTTAAAACATTTTTACCTCATTCTTCAGCTGAAAAGGCAGTTTGTGCAGCTAATTAAAACGAGAGTCCCTCTGCACAGGCTTAGTTGTTTTTTTTTAAATGCCAGGTGACAGTTGAAGGAGGGAATGTCCATTGGAGCTGGTCAAGTTCTGTTCGTAATTGGAATAAAAAACATAACTTAAGACAAAGAGGAAATAGTGAATGCACCTGTCTGTTTGTATATATATTCCAACAATTTATAAATGGGTTCACACTGTAGTTTCTAAGCGGCTTGCAATAATGATACAGAAGAGATACAATCAGTTCAAATTAGGCATAAAAAACTTGCTTAATGTGGTGGCTGAAATAAAAAGGGCTTCACTAAGCACTGAAGTGGGGAAGAGGCCTATCTGATCTCAGCCAGGAGGTAGTTCCATAGAGTTGGGCCCACAATACTAAATGCACAGCTTCTTATAAGACACCTGTATTGCGCTGACAAAGTATTGTGCTCAAGCAAGCACCACTGAGATTCTTATAAGAAATTCTTATTTAATAAATTTAGAAAAGTGTGTTGCAGTCATCCAACTTGTAAGTGGGGCATATGTAACAAGGTGTAGACCTGTTTTTTGTTTCGTTTTAAAGAGTGCAGCTGCCACACAAGCCTGTACAGAAGTCCTTCTCTAAAAGTAGTCACCACCTGGGCAGCTGAGAACAATGCTCTTTCCAAGAGGCCTCCCAAACATGGACCTGGTTTTTCCAAGAGCTGATAGCCCTGGGGAAAATACATTCTGTGCCTAGTCTCTGAAAACATTTTTATTTAACCAACAGCTCTTTTGTCTTGTCAATTTTAATTTTAAACGTCAACCTTGGTGTGTATGCCAATATCCAGACCAAGGTGAGCACTTTGTTAGCGTAAGCACTTCTGCTTGCCTGATGGCACAATCTCCCCTCATCCTCCATTGAACCCCAATGTGTTGTTCTGGGGATTCTCCCAATACACACGCACACAGCCAATTGGAAGGAAAGGCTGGGGAAGACCTGTTGCACTAGCAAAAGTCTGTGTGGGTTTCCAGTAGCAGGACTGGTTAGTTTGAATCCGGCCCCTTCACTGGATTCATACATTCTTTGCTCATTTCAAATGCCAAGTCAGGACTTAACTGATTTCCATTCAAGGTCCACTTTGAACATAACTTTTATGGTGAGTCAGTAGCTCATTAAATCAACCCACAACAAAGTAGAAAGTGGATTGCACTGGAAACGAGCATCCACATGAGGCAAAGCCAGGACTCTGCAATTAACTGCAAGTCGTCTCAAACCATGGAGTGTAATATGTCCGCTTGATGTCTTTGTTATAACCAAGTAGTGGGGCTTGATACTGCTTGGGACTAGGTACAACTCAAGACAGTGTGATGTACATCCTCCCCTTGCTGTTGACAGACAGATAAATGTGGTTGTGGTACAGCAAGATGTGCTCTTTCTCCAGTTACCACCAAGCTGCAATGAGGGGAGGAAGAATATAGGAGGCTGCCTTATACCAAGTCAAATGATTGATCTATCTAGCTCAGTATTGTTTACAGCAGCGGTAGGGAACGTCTACCCTGTGAGACTAATTAGGCCTAGCAGGGGCCCTAATTTGGCCCCTAAGGTTCTCCCCCCCCCCAACCAAACCATGGCCACTTGCCTCACATATGATATCATATGTGTCATTATCTGTGGGGCATGTAAAGATAGTAGCTGCAAAAGAATATTTGGAGGGTAAGTACACCTGATTGATCCTTGTTGACCACTGTCATGGGGGATTGGCTGCACTAGGAATTGCCCAACAGAAATTCCCTAATGCAGTCTCCTTCAAAAAAGAGCTCTTGGCACTAATAACCCATCGGTGCTGACAGCCATAAAAGGAATTCAGCAAACCCCTTTGCTGGCAATCAGGTACCGTCATTTTCGCTCTATATCACACACATTTTTTCTCCTAAAAAGTAAGGGGAAATGTCTGTACTTGTTATTGAGTGAATGTGTGGTCCCTGGAGCCGACTGGCCCGAGCGCAGGAGCAAAAATCAGGCAAAAATTAGATTGCGCGTCGTGGAGGAGGGAAGGGAGGGAAGGCTTCAGAAGCGAGGCTGCTGCTTTCCTGCATTCTTCCTCAGGGTCTTACTGCCCACCCTCGGTTGCTGTGTTTGCTCAAACGCAACAAAGAGCAGGGAAATCCCCTGCCCTCCTGGCAAGCAGAGGGGAAAGGAAAGGATCGCGTCCTTCTAATTCCTTCCTAGTCACACTGCGCGCAGGCTCCAGCCCCCCCCCCCCCCGGCTCAGGTTCCGCCGGCTAGGAGCGCAGCCGACAGCCACCACCACCACCTCTCCGTGCTGCTGCTGCGTCCAGCATTCTAGAGACTCGCAGGCAGCCAGAAAACATGCAGGTGGGAGGGAGAGGGGGGGCTGCCTTGGGTGGGTGGGGGGAAACTTTTGCCTTCCTTTCCTCCCTCCCGTTAAATCCCTCTCCTGCATTGTTAGCCAGCTGCACACCCCTCTCGTGCTCTTTGTCCCTTCTGTGTTTTTCCTTCCCTCCCCACTTAAAACATGGTTACAAAGCATGGATCCTCAGGATCTTTGCACTGGGTCACCCCAAATTCACCATCAGATCACATAGCATGTCCATGGCTACATGCTATGCACCAAAAAAATCACGCACCCACTGTGGCCTGGGGCCACAATGGTGCAAAAACATAGTTACAAAGCACAGATCCACATGGATTCTCAGGATTTTTGCATTAGGCTACCCCAAACTCACCGTCAAATCACATGTCTGTGGCCACAGCATGAAGCACAAAAATGATACATCCACTGTTTCATTCAGAATTTTTCCCCTTGTTTTCCTCCTCTAAAAACTATGTGCATGTTATGGTCAGGTGCGTGTTATAGAGCGAAAAATACAGTAATTGACTGGTGGGTGGCCCAGCTGTCCAAGTTGACCTTTGGAGAGGAAGGGACCCAGCCACTAGGCATCTCCATTCCCAAATCTACATTGACTGGTAGTGGCAGTTCAGGGTTTCACATAAGGAGCATTTCCAGCCCTACCTGGAGACACCAAAGATTGAAACTGAGATGATCTGTGTACAGAGCAGATGATCACCCTCCCCATAAAGCAGGGGTGGGGAACCATTTGGCCCTGGTGGGCCATATCTTTATCTCTCCCAGCCCCATGGGCCAATTTTTATAGGTGGGCAGTACCATCCACCTGCGAATCATGCAGCATTGTTATCATGTTGGGTGATTGGAACCTGTCAAAGTTCACCTGCGAATGTAGGGGGAAATAGTTAAAAGGGCTTGGTCAGTCCCAGGCTCAGTGATTCTAAAGTGGCAGACAATGAAGTGGGATGGCAGAAGCAGAGATGGGCTGGGTTAGAATGGGTCTGTGTTTCTCTTGGGGTTCTGAGGCCAAATAAACTTCTTGTGTGAATTGTAAGGACGGGAGACCTAGTTGTGTCTATGATGCCTGCTCTCACAAATGTATCCTTTTTAGATTTAAAAATAGTCTTGAAAAGTCAGGTGACCCATAATCAAATAAGTCATGTTGATCCATATGCCACCTCTAAGACAAAGTTTAATCTCTCCAAGTCAAGATTGGGGAACCTGTGGACCTCCAGATGTTGTTGGACTACAACTCCCATTGGCACCAACCACTATGGCAATTGGTCACAAATGATGGAAGCTGTAGTCCAGCAACATTTGTAGGACCACATGTTCCCATTCCAGATCTAGGTGGTTGAAAGGCTCTGAATGGTGTGATTGATCTTGCATTGTTCCTGTAAAGAAAAAGCAGCAACTCCTTGGAGCACTAAAAGTTCCTAATTAAACTAACAGCCAGCACTTTCCTGTGTGAGACAAATTCTTCTGAAAAGGTCCAACCAAGAAGAAATTATCTTAAAATCATTGCCTGACCTCTCATTTTCTATTCATTCCCTTCTAGTGCTATTACATTGGAGCAACCAGTGATGCAGCCACTAAAATAACTAATGAGGTGTCAAAACCCCTAAGTAATCACATCCCTGTTGACAAGGTTTGTGAGAAGCTGAAGAAGAAAGATAGTCAGATCTGTGACCTGAAATATGGTGAGTATAAGCAGATTACGAGTGATCGTTACTTTGCTCCTTGATATCTTCCTTATGTAGAGAGAGCAAGAGTGCTAAAGTTACTTGCTGCGTTGTGGTAGAGAGGAAATGACTTGTGCTGTCATCTTGAGTTAGCCTGGCAGTGTGCCCCATTGGAGAAAGTGCAACTTACTTCCAAGTAAAAGATAAGCTCTTACGCATATCAGTTAGATAAAACTTTTTCTCCAGGAGCAGAGCAGGAATGGAGGATCTGTGGCCCTCCCAATGTTGGGACAACAACTTCTGTCATTCCTGACCATTGGCCATATTGGAACTGATAAGAGTCCAACAACATCTGGAAGGCCACAGATTTCCGCCTTGCTATAGAGGATCATCATCTAATTTATCTAGCGATTGGGTTTTTCATAGACAGTAGTTTTATGGTGAGGATGCTGAACTGTGACAATGGACTGATCAGATTTCAGACAAAAGGTTGAGCTAAATTGCATATAACGGACAAATTATGGTTTATCTGTCAGCTCCCACCAACAGACTTTCATTTTAGCTAATATATTCCAACCAGGCAAAGTATGCTTTGTCACAAACCAGGGAATTGGAGTACATAGTTGAAAGATAATCTGCACGTGGCCGTTGTGTCCAGTTGGGGCTGTTTGCTTGTTGCCTAGGGATGTCAGAGATGGAGGGCAGCACACTCTTGCTTCTGACATCAGTCACTGAGCCAAGGGCCACTAGGCCACTTCCCTTGCCTCCAGGAAGAACTTCAATGCAAAATACCTCAGTGATTGCTTGACCTCTTATATTCCAGCTCCCATCACTGCGTTCATCTGCAATAGTGCTCAGTGTACAGCCCGTTAACTGCATTCTGTTCTCGACTCCTACTATACATTCCAGTGTCTTATCTTCCCCAAGTATAGATATTATCTGTGAAAACTTGTGCTCTTAATGAAAGTAGTCTCTAGGAGGTGCTATGACTTGTACTATTTCAGCTATGTGATAGCCATGTTTTGTGTCTAAGGCTGCATTCCTATGATACTTGAACTGGGAACAAATCCTCCTGAAATTTCTGAATTGTGCTCAGTTAAAGTTGTGGACTAACAATGCTTCATACAGTAATATGCCCTTCTCTTTATCAGATAAACAGATTGACTTGAGCACTGTGGACCTGAAGAAACTGAGAGTCAAAGAACTGAAGAAGATTCTAGATGACTGGGGTGAAACATGCAAAGGCTGTGCAGAAAAGTCAGATTACATTCGGAAAATCAATGAACTGATGCCTCAGTATGCACCAAAAGCAGCCAGTTCACGGACAGACCTCTGACCACCATAGTGGCCTCTAGATCATTAGCAAATCAAACACAAACTATGTTAATCTTTCTTTTTTCTTTTCTGGAAAGCTGTTTTTGTAACTTATTTAACTGGGTTTCAAGTGTCAAAGTGAAGCGGTTCTTGCAATGCTGGTTCAACTGCCTCGTCGTGTCTCAAGTTTTTATTTCTTTTGTCTCCAGTTTATGTTTAAGACATCGACTATGTATGGGATTTTTGAAATAAAAGTTAAGAAAGCCAGTCTTGTCAGTTGCATTAATAGGATTTGTATGAGTTTTATGCAAGTCTGACTGATGCCAACACAGATCCTTACTTCGTACTTGGTGCTTTGAGATTTAGGACTCATCTACACTTCCATTTGCTCTGCCGCTTTCCCCTGGGGAAACCTGCTTTTTACCAATAAATCGGAACAAACTGCAATCAGGTTTTCCACAGATTGCATTTGTTCTGATTCAGCAGGTTTTTCCAGAGAAAGCTGTGGGGGAAACAAGTAATTGCTTGGACCTGTGGTTTCACAGGACAAGCAGAAAACTTATTGGACCCATGCTTTTAGGAATGGGATGAGTGAGAATGGGTGAGCCCTAATAATGGCCATGTTTTGATAAAATGCTTATCTATGGGCTGGTGTGGCTTTTGAGATACCTGCTCTCCTGACTAATGCCTTGTAAAATCTCTGCATTTTGCTACTCCACATCCAGGTGAACATGTGTGCTATATTTGGTCTTTGGATTACTGCATGGTCTTAAAAGTATTTGAGACCCAGTTGGTGCTACCTGAAGTTGTTAAAAAACCGATACTTTGCTTTCAGAAATTTAAGCCCCTGATCCTGTACAGCTTTACAATCAGCCTGAGTGCTGTTTTTCTACAGCTCTGAGGTAAACTGACACCATCTATACAAGATAACTTCCTTGTATTCCGATTCTGTATTTACAGTTGTCAATACAGTACTGAATACAATCCTGACCAGCTACATCTATGTAAGGCAGCTGAATCCGGAATACGTAGCTTCTGTATATCCATGATATAATTAAAAAAATGGGTAGGGGTTGATTTCGGGTTCTCTCATGCTCTTGGAAAGCTTTTTGGCAACTTCAGTTCATAAGTAAAAGAAGCAGTTAATATATACCAATGTAATAAAAGAGTGTGTTGTACCAGGTCATTTATGGAGACACCTTTAAATGACCAGCCACACAAAACGCAGCTGTGAGCTAAACCCTTCATATATGGGTGGCTGCTACCAAAATCTCAATTCTCACCAAAGGTTGACTAAAAACAGCATCATAGAGAAAAATATATTGCTCTTGAGAAAAAAATCATGTTTTAAACTACATGAACTTTAGGGCAGTTACTGTTGACAAATTACCCACCTGCATAGCCTCCCCCACCCCACAGAAAAGAGTTTTTGAAAAGTACATCATATATTTAAACTTCTGTTACAGCACAATCTCATGCACATTTACTGTTTTATGTGCTACATCTCTGGTCTCTGCTAGGACAAAATAACTGGACAGCATGGTTCTGAAGGGGCCTGGTTTAGTATATATTTTTAATCAAGGTAATACAAAATGAAAGGATTTTGACTTTTTTAAGCTTATCCTTGGCTATATCCAGTGTCTGAAACTCCCATTGTTCTAGGTGCATTTTGCGACAATGAATTTCATTAGTTTTTGAGTTCTGGGTGCAGTACTGCGCCTAAGATTTCAGATTAGATCTGGAGAGTGGAAGGAAAGGAGGACCTTTTTCTGCCTCCCCACTTCCAGCTATTCTGAAGACGGGAGAAGAAACCCTTCAAAGAATATTAGGGGGGGTGGGCAGGAGAAGGACTAGACATGTGAAAAATGAACATATTTTAGCTGCAGTTCATTTATTTTCAGCTTTGTATTCTTGTTATTTAAAAAGTGCGCCTAGACATTTCATTGTTGCACCCATAACCTAGGTTTAAGGTGCCATTTAGCTTCTGGTTCTCATATCTGTTTCTAACACTATGAATAGATGAAAAAGGCAGCGTGGCTCCTTTACGTAACAAGTTTTATCCTGTGCAGTTGTAGGCAAAACAGTCAGCATCTTTTCTACTTTCTGCATACGGAACATGGATATTAACTACCGTTGCAGCAATATAAAAGTTTCCTTGTTTTTGCAGCTTCTGCCAGCACATTTTATTTTAACGGCATGTAATGCAAGTGCTATTTGTAAATTCACGTTTGCCCTTCAAAGCTCAGAGACCAATAGTTTTGCACGTGTGCGCGATCGCCGGTTGCTCCCTTCCTCCGTCTAACAGCCGCCCGTCGAAGGCTGCGCGCTTTGGCCGAGAGAGGGAAAGTGGCATCCGCTTTATTTCTACTTGCAGAAAAGGGAGAGGAGCAGAGGAAGGGGGAAAGCGCTGGCCTTTCCTGCTCTCACTTGCTATGCACTTTCTACTCCTCCCTCAGGCTGAGCGGCAGGTAAGTCCCGTGGAGGCGGGAAAGGCGGCAGCGCCCGGCCGGGAAGACGGAGGGGCTTTGCTCCTCACCTCCCCGTCCTCTGCCGGCCGCCGGGCGGGCGCGAGCAGGAGGGGCTTTCGGGCGGCGGCCGCGGCGTCCAGCCGGAGCCATTACGGACGCGGCCCGTCGCTCGGCTGGCTCGGGGCGGGGTCGCGGGCTGATGACGTCGTCGGCGCGCACGGCGCGGCAACTGGGCAGAGCCGCCTTCGCTCGTTCCCTTTTGTCCAAGATGGCAGCTGCCGCCAGAGGCGCCTCCTGAATCGCGGGCCCCGGAGCCATGAAGCGGGCGAGCGAGCGGGATTCCAGCCCGGCGGGGTCCGGGGGGACGCGGGGCGCCTCCTCGGCCAAGAGGCCCCGCGAGCGGGAGCGCGAGAGCAGCGGCGCCAGCGGCGGGAGCAGCAGCCGGCGGGGCCCGCACCGGAGCTCGGGCGCCTCCTCGTCGTCGGCCTCCGCCTCCGCCTCGTCGCGCAGCGGCCGGGACAAGTCGGCGGCGGGAAGCTCCAGCTCGCGCAGCCACCGCGGGGAAGAGCGGCCCGGAGGCGGAGGCGACTCCAACCACCGCGGCGCCGCCTCGTCCAGCGCCAGGAGCAGCAGCAGCAGCAGCCAAGCCGCCTCCGCCGCGGCGCCGCCGCCCCCGTCCTCCTCCTCGTCCTCGTCGTCTTCTTCGCGGGCGCTGGGGGCCGCCAAGGCCAAAGTGCCTCTGGCCGCCGTGGTCGCCCCGTCTCTGCTGCTGGGCGGGCCTTCGGCGGTGGCCGCGCCGTCGCTGCTTTTGGCGCCGGGGCTCGGACTGACGGCCGGGGTGGGGCTGGCCGGGGATCCCCCCGGCTCCAGCGAGTACAAGACCCTGCTGGTGAGCGGCCTGGGCCCGGCCCTCCCGGACCAGCTTCTGGAGGACGGTCTCTTCCGCCAGTTCCAGAGGTTCGCTAGCGGCGGCGCCAGTGACATTAGCGTCAAGCTCTCCCATACCCCCGAGCTCGGCCGCGTTGCCTATGTCAACTTCAGGCACCCGGCGGACGCCCGAGATGCTCGAAGGCATGCCAGAGCCCGGCAGCTTCTCCTCTACGATCGCCCCCTCAAGGTGGAGCCTGTGTACCTGCGAGGGGGCAGACGAAGCCGCACGCCCCCACCTACCCCGTCCCCTGAACCCATGGCTTTCCTGCCCCCAATCCATGGTGTTTATCCTTATAAACAGAGATCTCTTTCTCCTGTTGCCACCCCTTTGCTGAGAGAGCCCAGACCACGACATGCTGCCGCTGCAGCCTTTGCCTTGGAAGCTGTTGCCTTGGGTCTCTCTCGGGAGCGGGAGAGAGTGCTGGATTACTATGGACTGTACGACGAGCGCGGCCGTCCCTATGGCTATCCCATAGTGGCTGAAGAGGATCTTATGCCAGAGGATGATCAAAGAGCGACTCGTAATCTCTTTATTGGCAATCTGGACCACAGCGTCTCTGAGGTAGAACTGAGGCGTGCCTTTGAAAAATACGGCATCATTGAGGAAGTGGTGATCAAGCGCCCTGCAAGGGGCCAAGGTGGAGCCTATGCCTTTCTAAAGTTCCAGAACCTGGACATGGCTCATCGAGCCAAGGTTGCCATGTCTGGCCGGGTTGTTGGCAGGAACCCTATCAAAATTGGCTATGGGAAAGCCAACCCCACAACCCGACTTTGGGTGGGTGGTCTTGGTCCAAGTACTTCCCTAGCCGCCCTTGCTAGGGAATTTGATCGCTTTGGAAGCATTAGGACTATTGACTATGTGAAAGGGGACAGTTTTGCCTACATTCAATATGAAAGTTTAGACGCTGCCCAGGCTGCCTGTGCACAAATGAGGGGCTTCCCTTTGGGTGGGCCAGACAGGAGACTTCGAGTGGATTTTGCCAAAGCTGAGGAGGCACGCTACCCTCAGCAGTATCAACCTGCACCACTGCCTGTACCCTATGAATTGCTACCTGAAGGCTACAGCAGGCACAGGAGTCTAGAGCAAGACTTAAGGGTGAGAGACAGGACTCCTCCTCATCTCCTCTACTCAGACCGGGAAAGGGGCTTTTTAGAGGCTGATTGGACCAGCCCTGTCAAAAATGCAGAGCGCAGAAATAATTTGGAGACCTACAGTCAGTCAGCACGCAGCCGAAGTGGAGAACGTTGGGGCAGCGATAGTGACCGAAGCGTGCTCAAACCATGGGAGGAAAGGCGTAAACGCCGTAGCCTTTCCAGTGACCGAGGGAGAACTGCCCATTCGCCCTATGAGGAGAGAGGCAGGACAAAACCTGGTGGGCCAGCTTTAGATCGCAGCCCAGAGAGGGCTCGGAAGGAGAACCACACCACAGAGTCTGCCACGGAGAAAGAGCAGAATAACTCCCTGCAGAACAACCGGCATGCATCAGAGGAGAAGCCTCACCGTGAAACATCTGATCCTCAGCCTAAGAAAAGGGACAGCGAACGCAATCATCGAACTGCTGAGGCTGAATCAAAGACTCATGAAGAGTCCAAATCTGAAACAAAGAAATTAAAAAGCTTATCAGATTATGCCCACACGCTGCAGCTTGCCTGGAATGGGCTACTTGTCCTGAAAAACAGCTGTTTCCCTACATCTATGCACATCCTTGAAGGCGACTTTGGGGTTATCAATGGGCTTCTGAAAGACCACTTGTCTGGTGGAAAGCTCACGCAGCTCAAGATTGCCCAGAGACTTCGGCTTGACCAGCCCAAGCTGGATGAAGTAACTCGACGTATCAAGCAAGGAAGCCCTAATGGCTATGCTGTGCT